AGCAGTGGGTACATGCACGCCTCAGGGCGGGCAGCAAGGAAGGGGCAGGGCTGCACCGCTACAATAGGGATCAGGCCTCTTGCGACTCCCCTGCCATCTACCCATGGCATACCAACATCTTACAAGTCAAGGTTGCAGGCGTTTTGGCACTCTGCCCCAAAATGTTGCAAACCCCTGGTTCTAGGATTTAATCCATAATATGATGGACCAGATTTTCAAAAGTGTTCAGTTCCCCTATGTGCAATCAGATTTACAAAAACACCCCTTTGGCTGTCCCCTGAAATGATTCTCTCAAAAGGGATGTTCAGCACTATGCAGCTTCTAATATTTCCAGTGGTGGTGGGGAGGGGAGCAGGAAGGAAAAAGGGAAATCAGGATAGCAGGGTTCATAAACTAGGCTCCTTTTCCCAGTAATTCTTGCATGATGTTAAAGGTGACACTGAAATGGCAGATGGCACAGACAGACATTTAGACAATCAGTAGTAACATAGATATGATTCAATGCCAAATGCTTTCTTAACATCAAGATTAAATTAAACAGGATATTTTCAGCTATTGTCATTTTCAGAATGACAATACAGTGTTAGAAGCAACTACTACCAGGGATGGTGTGAATACAACAGTGGCTTCACGTTTGGATTCTCTCCCCAGCTCTGTCACTAGCCTGCTTTGTGATCTCTGTGCCCATTTTTCATTTTGTTCCATTTCACTAAACTATGTAGAGCACGAGGAACTGTCTTCCACAGCATGGGTGTCATTCAGCGTCCAATGCAACGGGGTTCCAATCTTGGTCGTGGTCTCTAGGACATAATACACAAAGAAAAATAGAACCATAACCACTCTAAAGAGCAAACATACATGTCAGGCTTGTGATTCACATATTTATCAAAATGTAGCTCACTTGTTTAGAAATGGAACAAAGCATCAAGGATTTAGAAAACAGCATCTAAAAATGTTTCTGCATTGCATTTACATCAATGTCCAAGGTTGTCAAGAGGCACATTTTGTGACTCAACTATACTTAAATATTTAAAGAGAGACAGTGATTTTCCTCCTTTTTACCCACTTCTTACACATTAATTATGTATCATATTATATCTATGTTTTCCCATTTCTTAAATGTTATATTAATATTAGGAAGAAAAAAAAAATCAATAGTAGCAAATCCATTCCAATGCTGGGATTTCTGCCCAAAATGTAGTATCATCACAACCTCAAATGGCTTCCCATCATCAGAGATTGGTAGTAAGGTCTCACTGGGGTTTGTCTTCCTCTCTAAAAACCTCTCTCTCTGCCTAGAGTCTTACTATGCAAGAGTCCAGCCAGAAGCTGAACCTGTAAAGTCTCCTTAGGCCCTATGAAAAGGTAAATCCTTGAGAAATGTTTCCATACCCTGGATTATAAAGGAATATGTTTTATGGCTCTCAAGAGGGATTAATATCATGGACCATACTTCCCCATCAATGTTCAAAACATTTCCCACCAAGATCTAATGACTAGTTCTATATGCAACTCATGGTAAGTGCAATAGGGAGCCCTGACCCTGTTATAGGAAAGTGGTGTGGCCCCTTAAGGGCAGGGTCTTAGCGCAGGCACAGGCACAGGCAGCCAGCAGAACAGGGGTTAAGGAGCAGCAAAGTGGGAGGAGGGGCACATGACCAGAAGGGGCAGGGCTTGAGTGAAACAACCCAGGGCAGTCACCCTGGCCCTGCAAGCTTTAAGGGAAGGAGCTCTGGGTGCAGGGAAGCTAAAGGAGACTGCCTGGCTGAGGAAAGATCACCTGCAACCTAGATACCTACAGCCTACAAGGAAGTAGGGCCTGGTATGGGAGACAGCCTGGTGGTTCAGACCAGGAGTGAATGTTTATAGATTCATAGATGTTTGGGTCAGAAGGGGCCTTAGCAGATCATAGAGTCCAACCTCCTGCCCTGGGCAGAAAAGAGTGCTGGGGTCAGGTGACTCCAGCCAGGTGCATGTCCAGCCTCCTCTTAAAGACTGCACCCCGCCTCAGGCAGGGGAGAGCACCACCTCCCTTGGAAGCCCATTTCAGATTCTGCAACCCTTACCGTAAGTTCTTCCTGATGTCTAACCTGAATCTGCTCTCTGTCAGTTTGTGGCTGTTGTTCCCAGCTACTCCAAGAGGTGCCCTGGTAAACAGAGCATCTCCTGTTCCTTGCTGTCTCCCCCAATGAATTTGTAGGCAGCCACAAGATCATCTCTCAGCCTTCTCTTGCATAGGCCCTGAGATCCAGGGCCCTCACTCTCTCCTTGTAGGGTTTTGCCTGCAGGCCTCTAACCATGAGTGGCCCTCCTCTGGACCCTCTCAAGGTTATCCACATCCGTCTTGAAGTGTGGCTCCCAAAACTGGATGCAGTACTCCAACTGAAGCCTGACCAATGCCGCATAGAGGGGAAGTATTACCTCCTTAGACCTGTTTGTCATGCACCTGCTAATGCATGATAAAGTGTGGTTAGCTTTACTTTATGTTGAGACTCAGCATGGGGATAATTTTCCACAGTAGCCAGCGGGCTCTTTGGGTTGCAATGTAAACTGGTGTGTGCGCGTGCGCACAGTTGGCAGGGACAGACTGTAAGGGGTGTGTTTTGGAGGTGCCATTAGTGCCCTAGGGGCATGCCATTGCCTCAAGTCCTGCTGGGGACAGGCTCAAGGTATAGCTAGTGCCAAGAGCGTTGGGGCCACAGGGCCCAGAACCCCAACAGGGGAAGAACATGGGGCTGGGACCCAGAAGCCAGGTTGAGAGCAAAGGGCCTTGGCTAAGGTACCAGCCAGGGAGCCTGAAGCCTCAACAAGGGAATGAAGGCCTGAGGTGGCCTGGTGACTTAGGGATAAGTGTCACATCTGATTACTGACTCAAAACACCTGCGAGGCAAGGGGTGTGGTGTAGGGCTGGACAGGGCCATGCAATAAGCTCTTAAAGGCCAGCAAAGTTGAGAGAATCAATCACTGGATGAGAGACAGCACCTTAAGTCTGCCAGTCCCTGAAGGCAGCCTTCCTTTCATAAAGTTTCCATCAAGATATAGCAGGTAAGAATGCAAGGTGAGACCTTAGAATAGTGCAGAGAGAGAATCTATTAGGAGTTAGGGGACCTGTAGGGGGCATGACAATGGTCTTCAGGCACCTAACCTGCTACAGTAGGAAACAACCTACAGAAAGCCATGTCAAGCAATTCCAGTGGTAAAAATAAAAAAAGTGATTCACCAGGTTATGCATGCCCATCTCCAATACTTTTTCTGGAAAAAAAAAAAAAAAAGACCACATGCTCAACAGTGCCTCTTTAAATCATGTTAAAAATAAAACTGTGAGCAGGCAGAAGTTCTCAGGAAGCAAATATTAGCAACCATAATCCTTGAGTTATTGGAAAAATGTGGCTTGCAGGACACAAACAATTGAATTAGGTCAGACTAGCTTTTGTTTGCCTGAAGCAACAGTGGAGTAACGTATGGCATAACAAGATATGAATAAAGCTAAAATGATCTCCAGCATGAAAAGGGTAACCACATACTAAGAGGATAAAGCACAAGAAAATGTTTTTGGTTTCAGTGCATAACAATTCTCACCGGCTGGCTGATGCAACCTGAATTAGCCTCATAGGAACAATGCCTGTTTAGAAGAAGTTGTAATATGCAGTTTCTCAAAATGTGGGCCTGCAGAAATTCTGCAAAATTGATGCAGCCTCTCCCCCATGGTCAAATCTGCCCTTGTGTTCAGAACAAGCTGATTACAACAAACCCTGTTGGACTGAGAGAAAAGAAGGTGTTTGCTAAAATAGGATTAGTTAAATTTGCTTCACCATAATTAAAAAAAACCCCAAAAAATCAGTTTCTGCTTTTGGGATTGTTAACAATCAGATGGTTGTGATAAACAGGGTTTGTCATCATTACCTCATTTGCTTGCTGCTTTGTAATGTCTCGCTTTGCTTTGGCTCTTTCATCATAATAAGTTTAAATCTAAGATTCCTGGAATGCAAAGCGGTAAGTTAACAAATGAAGAAAGCAAGCCAGATACCTTCTAGCATAGGGACGTCAAATATATGGCCTGCAGGCTGGATCAGGCAAAGAAGCCCTATAAACTGTCCCTCAGTGCTGCCTGCAGGTCTCGAGTAAGCCCACAGATGCAGCATGCAGGGCGTGCTGGATGGCTGTGTGCGCTACATGCAGCATTGGCTCCATGCTAGATCAACCACTGCATGGGGCACCTACTCCAGGTACTCCAGGGCCACACTGCATGCCAATACCTCCTCTGGCTACTCTGGGACACATGATGGATCTGGGTTGCTGGGCCAGTCTGTAGACCAGACCAACAGACCCAGCACCACTCATCCAGCCCATAGGATGGTAAATGAGTTTGACAGCCCTGTTCTAGAGGTAGGACAAACCTGTAGACCAGGGGTCAGCAACATTTTAGGATAGAGTGCCAAAAACACCTGCAAGCTCGGCTTCTAAGAAGTTGGTGGGCTGGAAGCAGATGGCAGGGGAGCTGCAAGGGGTCCAATCCTTGTTGTGGCAGTGCAGCCCTGGCCTCTTCCCTGCTGTCCACCCCAAGGTGCACGTGCCAAGCAAAATGCCTTCGCGTGCCACACACTGGCACCCATGCCCAGGGTTGCCTACCCCTGCTGTAGACATTGCTACTGGGATGCCAAATATTATGAATTTCTTATTGTTGCTATTGCCCTTTTGTATTTTCAGATGATCGTGGAAAGTGTGCGGAGAAAGGGATGGTGGGAAATAAAAATCTGATTTTACCAAGAGGTAGACCTTGTAAATAGATGAATGAAAATCCTGGAGTCAAGCTTAACAACAGTTTAAACAGTAGAAAGCTTAGCTGTCCAAGTAAGACTGCAACAAAGATTTAACCTTTTTTCCACATTGGTGTGACAACAAAGATAACAAATGGTTTCCAACACGTGAAGTGAAAAACTGACCAAATACCACCTCCACCCCCATGTCATGTGCATACAGTCAAATTTCAAACTTTGAAATCTTTGACATTTGAGCAGCTATCACTGTTTTCAGAGTTTATTAATAAAAGTACAAGGTAAAACACAGTCAATAAACAATAGAAAACAAAAAATCAAAACCTTTTCCATATTATTTCACAGTAAAATAACAGTACTGAAAAATACTGTTCCAAATCAGGGGTCAGCAACCTTTTAGCAGTGGTGGACCAAATTAATGGCACTAAGGTGGGCCAGTGACCTGGCCTCTATTGCAATCGCAGCTTCAGGAGCCAGAGCAATCTTTGTGGGCCAAATCTGGTCCATGGCCCAAGGGTTGCTGACCCCTGCCTTAGGTAACAGAGCACAAAGGGTAACTCAGAATGTTGACATGTTAACTAAACTCTTAATTAATTAATTGGTGTTACAAAATACAATCTGTATCTTCTGAAGAGAGAGTATTTTAACATGTACAATAAATTAAATAGATACCGTACTAAAAGTCAGACATTTAACACACTGTTTCACTTGGAGCATGTGCATTTTTTTGTTATTTCTGTTACAGTCATAAATTTGACAAACTGCAAACTGTCCATCCTGATAGTACCTATCTTTTCCCTTCTGTGACATTTAAAAAAAAAAGAAAGCATAAAGAGCTACTGTACCATTTTCAATTACCAAACTGCATGACAACATAGAGCTCTATATAACATCATAAGAAAATTGGCCTTCAGCCATTTATAACAGAAAAGAATGCAAAAAAAAACAAAAAACAAAATCTACCTGAGAAACAAAACTCTTCCCTTCAGACAATGCTTTACCTCACCAAGTAAACACATCAGCAGAATTTTACCTCTTCCCATACCTAATTTAGCAAAATCCCTGTGGTTACCATAGTGTTTAAAGTACTCTAGGTAATTAGGGATGTGACAATTTTTAAAGTATTTGCCAAATGCTGAATAATTTAACTTAGAATTCAGTGGCAGGAGCATTCATGAACTGGGAAGGTTGGCAGGAAATAAGTGTACAGTGCACTCTTGGGTATAAATCCCAGGGAAGCCCCAGAGTGCACTTGGAATGGTGCAGCAGTAAAACAGCCACATAGCAGCTGCTATTTTAGCTCTTCAAAACTGTATTAACCTGAACACATACACCTGCAAAACTGGATGGATAGATAACAATTAAATACACACCAAAGATTTGTCCTATCTAACCAGCAGCTGACAGAAGCAGTGACTTGGATACAGCTATAATGCTCTAAAAAGGAAACACCGTCTTCAGACTTGTATATAAACATATGAAGGATGCTTCACGCCAAATGAAAGCACCCAAGTGCCGCAGGGTTTGTGCCAGTACACTGGGCAGTTATACCATTAGTGACCCCCCAGCTCTTGTCTTGTCCTCCAACATGGGCTAAAGCAATTTAAAAGTAGGGTAACTTTGCTGACTCCACTCTGAGAGCACTTTTGACTCATCTCTCACTAGATGCATTCAAGCAGTTTCTAACACAACCCAATTATTCACCAACAGCTTCCTCTCAAAGTACAAATGAAGAAGTTTAGTGCACTGATCAAAAGTACAATAAATAACATCCCTGTGTAAAATTTAGTTCAGTGTTAACCCAGTAGGAGACTTTTGATTACACTGTTGTAAATCTGAGAGATGGCAGCAGTAATATACAGATTATTAGCTTGTATTTACATTTAAAAATTAGAGTAAGTGCTACTTAAACATTTCAACACCCCACTTCTTTCTATCCAAAAAGAAAACAAGGATGGTTACAAAAAATACATTTGCAAATCCCAGGTTGAGAACCATAATTAAAACATCGAAGAATGGAATAAGTGACTGCCTGTCATATGAAGCATTTACCTGCTGCACATGGCGTCACATTATAATTAAACGGTGGATAATATTCCCCAGCACACATACACAAAGTGGTTAACAGAGAACTTCTCTTTTGTTACCAGGCTTCCAAACCCAGATTTCCTTGGGACATAATAGGAGGAGGCGCCAGATGTCCTCCAATGTGCAAAAGGCTTTCGAGTCTTCCCCAATTTTTTATTTAGGACTACATATGCATCCCCAACATAGCTCATCTTTGCTCTTTCACAATGCAGTCACATGGGCTCTGAGTAACTGAACAATATGCCAGCAACCTTTGAGACTTACCCGACTGCTACAGCTCCTAGGAGCGCTTCACATCAGTTGATCAAATTATTTTTTTCTATAATCACTTTAATGTGGATACTTTATGCCAAGGGTGGCCAACCTGTGGCATGAGAACCACAAGCGGCCAGGGCAGTCTGGGTGTGTGGCATGTGGCAGATTGGGGAGAGGGCAAGCAGCACAGTGGGAGAAAGGGCACAGAGCAGAAAAAAGAGCAGCGGATCATGCAGGGGGTAGGGATGGGAGTGGTATCTGGGGATGGCACAGGGCTAATTTGTGGCACTCCTTCCAAAAAGGTTGGCTACCACTGCTCTAGGCAAACCAAATCCCCCCTTTCTGCAAGGGAAAGCAACCTCTATGACTTACTTCCCTAACCATAGGAGAATGGAAGTCCCAAGGTCAGAGGCCAAACTGAATTAAGTCAAGCCATCTGGCCATGGCTCAAGTTTAAACTTTTTTTGCCATAACTATTTCAATTCTATCATTATCCTTCTACCTCTTTCTCCCAGTTGTCTGCTCAACTGCAACATACAACTTTCATTCTCTAGCTGTCTGGGGGAATGCCTGATGTAGATGTATAACAAGATACTGCATGTACTACGCTACACAAGATAAAATTAAACATCTCCTTTGAAAATGGATGAAAATTGTTCTTAAAAATTTGGAGTAAGGGGTACTGGATAGGTCCAATGGCACCAAACACATTCTAGTAACATCCAGGTGATCAGTAGACTTGAATGACATCATCCCATTCATCAACAGGCCACATTCCATTGTACTGTACATTGGGTGGAGAGCTTTTCCAGTCCCATGTCTTCACAGGTTCCTTCCAGTCCTTGCCATAGTTGGCTTCAATATACTGGAGGGTTTCGCAGGGCACATGTACCTTGAGTTCTACAAACTCAGTCCAACACAGTGTAAACTTCGGAAACAGGTACCTATGTCAGAGTAAAAGAACACAACCATTAACAGAAGGCTAGAATGCAGGCATAACATTCAATAAGGACACCTAGTCAGTCACTACAGCATTCCACTCATGTTAAGGATTACCAATCATTGTAAAGCTTGAGTATTACTATGTTTATGTGCTTAGTGCACTGCACTGATTGCACCCCTATAGATAAGCAGTCTTTAAAAATACACAAAGGATGCCAAATGAGCAGTAGCTCATTACTACGGTGCAGTAGCAACGAGTTACTGCACAGTCAGCGCCACCAAGAGGCTGTTCGGGGAGGCTACTGCACAGTAACGTCAGTTACTACGTGATCATTTAGTACTTGTGTCTCCTGTAGATGTGGCCAATAAAGCAAAACCTGCTGTGGTGCAAGAAGCAATGGCAACTGCAAGGGCTTTACAGAGGTCCTTTCCTTTTCTCACCATTAGCAGAATGAGACAATCTAGCAATCCCCAGGTGATCCAACAGAGTGCATAGGGCACAAATCTAGGTTCTCAGATCCTAAGAACATGTGTCTTATTTACACTAAGCTGATTTTCCCACTGCAGGGAAGCCAGATCCATTCTCTCAGCTATGCTATCAAGATATGAAGAGGACCATGGATAAATGGAGAGTAAAAGGAACTGTGGCCTCCACCCAATGGCCTCTAGTAGAAGGCCTTAATTCTGGTATTTCCTAATGCTTTAGCGCACAATACTTTAACACTGTTTTTCAGGTTATATGGAGCAGTTTGTTTTCCATAAGAGTTAATGGGAGGCAATGAGACCACTAACAAAATCCAAGGTGGCAATACAAAGGAGGCCGTTACAAACTTTGGCACTTTGGTTAAGTGTAATAATGGTGGATAAAGGGCTTATGAATGCAAAATAATATGATGTAGAAGTGCACCAATACATTGGTATAGAGAAATGAGTGGATGAAATGCTTAAAAAAAAAGCCAAAAGCTTCTACCTTTCCTCAAACTGCTTAAGCAGTGTCATCCATTTCTACACTGACACTTGTGTTTAAATAAAGTGCCAGGTCATACAACAGCCGCTCGATATTAAGGTGCCATTTCATCCCCCACACGCTTCTGATTCTTGCTTTGCTCATGCATATTCAATAATTGATTCTTTCAAACCACCCTGACTTCTCATATTAGCAGACCCAGTGTAAATTTGCAACAACTCCATTGAGTTCAATGGGTTACACTGGTCCAAGACTTCCATTTGATCAGAATAAAGCTCCACAGGTGAAAGTGATGCAGTGTCATTCTACCACCCAAAATATACTGAAACTTTTAATGTTTGCAAAGGGGATCACTCCTAAGTCTCATTGGTTAGAACATTTTCTCAGTCAGAAAAGCAGTCTCAACTCTTTCATGGATTACAAAATGTTGCAGGAAGAAAAAAAATTAAAAATTTCAGAACGGTTAAGAAACAGATATTTGAAAGACGGATCAATGTTAAAAAATAGCTTGCCCCTTTAATAAAGCAATTTTAAACCACAGCACAATTCCAGCAAAAGACAGAGACCATTTGAATTTTAAATTATCAACTTAAGCAAAACAATAACTAAGCTCTTTGGGATCTGTACCCAAAAGTCACTGTGGTCAGTCCTAACTTATATTACACAGAAAAGATGCCAGCTATCCAGGGAAAAAAATAACTATTAAAATGGAACAACAACAATCAATTGCTAAGTGGTATATAGCTGCTATTCGCACACAGAAAACATTTGTGTGTCACAGCGAAACAAAGTATACTAGACCCACACATGCAAAGGCTATTAATAAAATACAAACTGCATATTCTAAAGGGAGTCTTCTCTGAATGATTTAAAAGGTGAACAAATGAACTGAAGTTTGAAACAGTCTGCAAAAAAAGCAACCGAAGTGGGAATGCCATCAACACTATTAGCCAAGCTTTATTAAAAATGCATTTTTACACTTAATAATAAAATCTATAATCTTTAGTGATGCCCTTTACTATAGGAATTTTTGCCTGAAGAAGAGTTTTCTACTCAGAATGTTTAAAAACTAAGATTTTCCAAAGATGCACAAAGAATCATCTACAACTGGAAATAAGCAGACAATGCATGGACATAAAAGCAAAAAGGAGAGATTTTCTGCACAAATTTCTTCTTTCAAAGTTAGAAAATATTTTCTTGGAGTTACTGGATTTGAGATGTTGTTCTGAATCAGTAATGCCCACAATATAATTTAATTTACAGTACTGGATTTTTTGGGTTAAAAAGTTTTTTGTTTTGTTTTGTTTTTTAAATAAAAAATGCATACTATAGGCCTAGATACAGAAAATATACAAATGTTTAACTTTTTATAGGTCAGAGGTCTCATTGACTTTGTGTGCTTGAAGATAAGCACAGAGCTTGTGGGGGTTTTTTGGCTGGCCGTGTCCCCCCATAGCATCCATCCAAGCATTTCCTGTGAAGTTAGGAAACTGGTTCCCCAAGAAAAACACTCACAAAATGAAAAAACAAAAGATCTACAATCCCAAATACTGCAAGTGACAAGACATGCTCCAAACGGAACTGCTCAAACACTTGGCATCTGCAGCATCCAACATCTAACTTTCTAACACCCTTCATCTTTTAAAATGACAAGTTTCTTGGAGTTGAAACCCTGCCTTCATGCATGACTGAAGTGGTAAGATTATTTCTGGCATTATATATATAAGCTAGTAAGGAGTCTAGAATGGCATATACTGTATTATAAGAGAGACTGCTCAATCCTACCAATTTCCTAATAGAAGTCTGCAACATGCCCTCTTGTGCTAAGGAGCAATATTCCTGCACTCAGTATCAAATTAGAAGTCTTAGATGCTGTTGATCCTCAACCAGCTGCACTGTATTCATAATTTGAAGACAGAATGTTAATACACATTAAGCTATAAATAATTATACATTTAAGATACCCAAATATGTGAAATAGAGTAAAATCATAAAGCTTCTACACCAATATTACCATGCTGCTAAGATTCATTATCCATTTCCCTAAGTTTTTTTTTTTTCTTCTTTTTTTTACTGTTTTTATTAAATAGTAAATTGTGGCTTTTCTACAATATCTCCACAGCTTCTAAGCGCTATCATTTCACTGAAGAGCATAGAAATTCTAGTATTACCACATATTCTAGAACAGTGAGGGCCAATCTTTTTGGCAGGTCTGTCACAAATTAGCCCTGCACCCTCCCCAAGTGCCATTCAGATTCCCTTCCCCTGTCCCATCTACTGCTGTGCTTTCTGCCTCCTCCCCAATCTGTCACATGCCACACACAAAGGCTATGCGTGTCACTTGTGCCATGCATGCCACCCTGTTCTAGAAGCAAAACAGTCAATCCAGACATTCACAGTTCTGAAGGCTTGGACTTTATGACCAAAGTGGTAACACAACCCAAAGACTGCTTGCAGATGTTTAAACCCCCCACCCCCAAAACACAAAATAAATAGGCGCTATAATGTTAAACTCTGAGCCCTCCCACACTGAGCCCAGAACATGTCCAAATGAGGCAGCGTGTTAGTTGGAACCAGGTCGCCTGATGTCTATATAGATTGCGTTAGTGGGGGGGGTTTTCGTGCTTTTATCTAATAGTTGATTGAATTAGCTATTAGATAAAAGCATCAAAAAGGAAGCACCCTATCTATACAGACACTGCAGAGCTGGGTTGAAGTAACATGCTGCTTCTTGCAGTAAAGCATTTTTTTTTGTTTTGTTTTCAACATCTGCAAGTAGCCCTAGTCTTCACCATAAACACTCCATGCACTTACAACAGAACTCCATATAGCAATAATTAATTTTGAAGCTCTGTAGTGTTCTATTGGATATTTAGGAATTCTCACATCTCCAAAATACCTTGCTTTTGAGGTGGTAAGTATTCTTAAGAACTCATCTCAAACTGAAGAATGAAACTGTAATATGACCAAAAATGAATCACTTCTGGTTTGGATTACCAATTCCATTTCTTCATGTTCCAAAATCATCCTGAAAGAGCTGAGGGCTATAAAACATAAGTACCTAATGGTGGTTGGTATAACAAGCCTTAAAAGTAAACTAAAGAGTGCTCCATTGAATGACAAAAAAATTCCCTTGCATCTCCCCTTCTGAGAAGCTATTTTGTACTGGAGGATAGTGAGGATGAAGTGTTCTGAACATACATTCTCTATCACTGCTCAGGGCCTTTCTTAAGCAAGACAGCTATTCTATATGCCCTTTCTGGTAGGCATTAAATGTATTTTAAATATACAGAAAGCAGCACTGTAGGATTTACAGTTTTCATTATATTTTACTACTTTCAAAATCCACTTCGTCATCAGCCCCTCTTGCCAACTTTGTTTAAAAAAAATGTGAAGAGCATTAGAAGAAACCTTTTTCTTAATCTATGGCAGCTGGAACATCTGTATCATCTGGAAAGACTAGTAGCACAGCACCCGGTGCAAACCGCTGGAGCATGAATTCAAAGCCAATGTCTGTTCTCAGAACTTGGGGGAGGGGGGGACGACGACAACGACGACACACAGCCTCTCTGTTTGCAGGAACAAAAACCATTGCTCTCAAGCCCCACCCTCCCAATAAGTGGTGCAAGATTATTTTGTCAAGTAACATCAGCTCTTTTGGAATGGAATTCAATGTCACAAATCAGGTGCGACATGCAGGCATACAGCGAAGGAAAGTTTAACTGTCCACGTGGGTAAAAACCCCCACAACTCCATGAGGAAAAACTAAGGGTCAATACATCCTAAGGGACAGCACAGTCATTTCTCAAAGTAAAATTGCAAATATAGCATCTCATTTACTCAACAAATCGATTCCCTTTGTCAATTTACACTCTTACCTTCTCAGTTCAGTGATTAAAATAACTTTTTGCTGCAATTTACTCCTTATCCCTGCAAAGCCAAGGCACCCAAGGGAGAGCACTGGTAACACTGTCTTGTGCATCAGTGTTTACTAATTTTCAATTAGCTACACCTGTGCAAAGGCACTCAGGGAATAAACTGGAAGATAATGGTGTCACACAGGTCTTAATTTGGTCTGCAAAACCTTTATTACTGGAAATGATGAGCAAGATGGAGAGAGCCTAAACTAACTCTCAATTCACTGAGAAAAACTGCAGAAGAACAGCAAAATCCCCTTTTTTTACTGGCACATTTAACAGAAGAAACAATAAAGTACAGAGAATCTCACTGACAGTCACTCTCACAACAGCAACAACATTAAAAAAAGCAAAATGACAGAGGCATTTTATTGTAATAGTTTATATTACGGAGATAATGTTATCGGGAAAAGCGATTACCACAGAATCCCCAAAACACTACGTTATTTGTAAAGGCAGACAAGCCTCCTGCCCTAATCCCTAATCTCACACACAGATGCTTGTAAAATTATTGCTCACTGAAAAATTAATAAATGCAATAAAGGCCTGCCCGTAAAAGAAGGAAAATGTGCAAGCTTGAGTCCTATTTTACCTGTCCATTCAAATGGAAGTTAACCTTATTCCAGACAACCTGTATTTGACAGAGCATATCCAACACTGGTGAAGAGTGAGTTGACAATGCTTGAATGCAGCACAGGTCTGACAAGGCACATAAGTGCCATGCTCTCCATTTCTCTAGCTGTCACAATGCAAAATCTCTATAGATTCATCTCTTCCTGAAGCACCTGCTTGCTTAGGCATCAAACTAACTACTATAACTACCAATTCTATAATACTGTATGGTTACAATACATTAAATATTACTATTCAAATATGAAAAACTATTTAGCTACTTTTCCCTTCAATAGATATGAATCTAATTCATACTTAAATTTCTTGCCCGATTTGGCCTGAGTTCCTCCATTCCATATGTGGTCATCCTCTTCATAGAAGAAAAAAATATCAAGTTTCACATCACCTTCTCCTTGAAAGGAGAGCTCCAAGCTGTCTTCTACCTATGAGACAAATGTACATCTTAGGTACTCAATCATAACCATAAGGAAAAACAGAAGGTTGCACACAATTTATTTGTGCGGGCAGGTTTCAAAGAAATCTTGTCGCTGCACTCTCTGGAGTCCTCTCTTGGCTAACTAAAGGAGATACTGTGGCTAACTCTCTTCAGAAGGACCAAAGTTCACACTAAGCAGGAAAGAAGAGAAGAGAAAATCCTTGCCAAGAAGATACCTTTAACAAGTCCTCCCCCAAAAGATCAAATTGTTCAGATTTCAAAAGCTGCATCCTGAATATAGTATATTAGAAATACTACAAATGGAAGGTGATTTGCGTTCAACTCAACTCTAACCTTGCTTTTGCAGATCTCAGATCTCACAGGAGTACTTAACTAGAACTCGTGCAGAAACTATGACAAACCATGTATTAAGCATCAAAAGACTGAACATTAGAGAGAGACAGACTTTCACATACAAGAGCAGAATAAACTTAATGAATGACTGATGAAAAGCAATTCAGACTGGGCAATCTTTTTCTCTCAAATGCAATGTCCACTAGCACTAGCCAATAATCAGTTTTTGTACTCCAACTTAAACAAAAACATAGTGACTTGGGAGATTAGACATGGCTATACATAGCCCCAGGTACTTAAGAACATAGTAAGTGCCACGATGGGTCAGATCAATGGTCCATATAGCCCAGTATCCTGTCTCCAACAGTGGCAGGGATGGATGATTTAGAGGGATAGCACTGAACCAAATATCTAAAGAGATTGATCCCCTTTTCTTTAACCTCCCTGGCATCCACCATCTTATGTTCTGGTATGTCTGAACTACTCTGACCTAAATAAATCACTTCAGTTATCAGCTCTGAACATTTTTCCCCCCTCAAAGGGCTCCTCTTTCCCTGACTTGTATAATATTTCCTCTTTGCTTCACCATTATGATCCTATGCTGTATCTATCAACTGCAGCCCAAGACGCTGGCTTTGAGAGCAGGCCTACATAGACTAATACCCCTACAAGCAGGTTCAGTATCAAACAACATTCCATCTTGATATTTAAAGTTCTCTTGAACCTTAAACACAGCTAGAATCCCTTTTAGTTTATTGGTATTGTTACAGTAGTGATGATGGCGCAGAATTGTGAGACAAGCAAGGCTTGTTAAGTGAAGTAATATATTTTATTGGACCAACATGTCTCCTATCTTTTGAAGCTAAACAAGTTGGTCCAATAAATATATTACCTCACCTCAGAAGCCTTGCTTTTCTTAGCATTGTCTCTTAATGTTATCAAAATAATTATATTAAGGTAAAATTCAGGGGCTCCTAGAAGAATTAGGACTCCATTATAAAAGGTACTTTACAAACACACACAGATATTGCTGCCCTTGCACCAGAAAAATATAATAATTCAACAAGAGTAATCATACAAATAAACTGAGTTTCTGTATAAACAGTTGCAAGATCAAGTAATGGACAAACCATGTGGACCATCTGTAGGACAGCTGTCATATGGTAAACGGGTGCTTGCAGTTACTCAGTGATAATGTGAGGCATCTTACTTCTGAATGAAACAGAGTGAAGCTCCCCAGTTCAGTTTTCACTTATCAGAGTGCAACTCCAGGCACACAAACAGGTACTGCATATCAGCTGTTCCCCAGTAAGTCCCCACACCCAGCCAACTTGCTTTTATTTGGTTGTTCACTAACACTTTGAGAGAGCTTTCCCCATGCAAACTATTTGGAAATATATTCTGAGGGCATAAACCTCGAGAGAAAGTTGTTACAACAGTGAAGGATAAAAGTTCATATACTGAGCTACACACCTTGCCAAACTTGTGCTTTAGTGGTAATCCTGCCTTCCAAAATGCTGGAATGATATCAGATTTGTAGTCTTTTATAAAGATGCCCAAATCAACATCTCTGCTGTAAGGAATAATATTGCATTGTCTATACCAGCCTAAAAAAAAGACAAAGGAAGCGAGTTCAGAGACACAGTGAAGTCAGATCTGGAGCTGAAACAAGGCAAAAATTGAAGTGTCATATTGCACCAGGATCACAGGAGGTGGCAAACAGTCTTCTGCTACACTCTGCAGAGACAAACTGGTCATGAGGACAAGGAACAGCTGTACTCACATCTATCCATCTTCTCCAAAACTGTTAGGACTTTGAGTAAACCTGTTCTACTGCAACAAAATAAAGATCCTTCAATCTTGCCATTTTTCTAATTTACAATACAATATTACTTGGAGTGATGCAATACACTGAACAACTGCTTTTGGCAGAAATATTTACCATTTCACATGAGGCCTGTTTGACATCTCAAAGCATTAAGCTCTACAGCGGTTCTAGAAAGGGATTATTTTATTAGTTTGTGGAACCCTCCCCTTCTGACTCAATAGTAAAAGCTTATTTTAACTGAACTGTGTATTTGACACTGCTTTCAAATACTTAACAGATGCTACCTATCAACTGCATGCACTCTCCTATTAATTTCAATGCTTGGTATTGAAACTAAACAGGATGAAATATTTCATATTTCAAATAAAACTGCAACGTGTTGAAAAACAAGACAACATAAGTAAAGATATTTTTTACCAAGGCATGTTCCACTGCTCAGCCAGAATCTCACTCCTAAGTTATTTAGCGTTAGGGCAGCCAAATGCAGCAGTGTTTTTGCTTTTTTCCTGAATTCCACTGCATCCAGGGAGGTATCATCAGGGTACAGCTAAAGAGTTAATGAACATTAAGTTACCTTCAGACATACATGTACCTGCACCTTAACTTTTGAAAGGTTCTCTTAAAACCTAAAGTTCCCTCTGTTTAAGCCTCCCTTCCATTTATTAAGTTTTCCAAACTGATAAATATATAAATGCAATTGTCACAAATCACTGCAATACTTACTCTTTTGAACAATAATGAATATTGATCCCAACCCTGCTCTCAGTGAAGTTAGAGAAAAGATTCCCAATGACAACAACTGGGGACAAAAATTGGATTCACTGCCATGATTTCCAGCACAATTTTTAAAAATTCTTTGGTGCCACCCAGTGGTACAACTGTACATTAATCTTATACATTGGCAATAATTCCCATTATTAAGAAAGAAATATAAGGAAGAGTTTAACAATGAATTGCATCATCAACCCCGCATGCCCACCCAACCCCCCACCTCCTGCCATGTTGCGAGATCTTCTGTAACACAAGAATATTAATACTAAGCAATACAGCCTAAACAACAGACATTAAAATACACTTTACCAAGTATACTGAGTGCATAACTGTCAGCTGCTAAATACCCATTTCAAAATGCAAACATCCCAGTACAGGATTCGTCTCCGCCTCAGAAGACACAGCTTGGAGATGGTGAAAGTCATACAACTCAGAGAACTCCTGAAGCCTCCAGTGCAAAATGATGCATGCCCATTGCTATTCTTCTTTCAGAGAGGATTCAAATTTATTCTCTTACACCCATTTAACACTGATGATGGGGGCACTGAGAATACAGAGTTATGACTGACTGGCATGAATAAGGATTAATTGTAAAAATTTAAGGATTGCAGGACAAATTCATTTCCCCTCGGTGTGGATGGGTCCCTCAAAAAGAGTTGAAGTAATTTGGTATTGGGTGTTTTGTCCCACCATTATACTCCAGAAAGGACTGGATGGAGGGATTGCATCTGTGTTCCAGTGCTGGACAGGGGAACAGAGAAGAGCCTCCTAGATTCCCACATCCTTTGCAGCAGTGGTTCCCAGCCTTTTTTATACTGCAGACAGGCACACGAGTGGGACAGGGCACACAGAGCCAGCTGCCTCGCCACCCAGCTTTAACCCCACATGTGACTGCTGGCAGCAGAAGCCGTTCACCTGGGCAGACAGACAGGGGTCCAAGCAGGGAGGCTCATGCCACGACCCAGCAGCCAACCCTTCACGGCCAGTACCAGGCTGCATCCTGGTGGTTGGGAACCTCTGCTTTGCAGCCAAAGCAGAAGGATAAAAATCTATCCTGCTGAATGCCTATGTTTGGAGCCACAACTTGAAGCACGTTTAAAAACTCAGCAGAAAAATCTAGCAGAATATGTAGTCTTTAAACTTTTATAGCAGCATTTCTAAAACAGATCGGTTGAAAACCATACAGGAACAAATCCTCACTGAGTAAGGACCTTGCAGTGTTACCACACAATTACTACTTACTCATGTAAGTAGTCTCAGTGATTAAGACTACAAGACCAGGCCTAAGTTTATGCCAACTTTGAGGTTTTACAGCTAGGTCAGTTTCAAGATAACAGAGCACACAAGAACACGCTGGGGCAGATCTGGGGTGGGGGGTGGTGCACTTGCACCCCTCCTTTGATTCCTGGTCTACCCAAAGTTTAAAGCCAACTGCCTGGCAGTGGCAGCAGCATTTCTACTCAGGCAGTGCTGAGGGAGTCACTTGACTTCAGAGGACATTATAATTTACCTGATCCCTTCTAAACTCTTCGTTCCACAGGTCTTGTTGTTCCACCAATCAAGCTATCCTTTATTCTGCAGTTGTGCTGTCTGTCAGCTGCTTCTGGTAAAGCCTCCAATTTCACAGCCCTGCAGATTGTTTCAGCTCATTCCAATGAAGTTGTATTTGTTTTTGCTTCAATCTTAAACTGAGTAATACAGCCCTAAACCCCTAACATATTAATTTATTTTTAACTGGAGAAAAATGTATATTGTTTTATATGTGATGATGCATCTCACCATCTGCACCCCCCTTTTCAAAATTCTAGATCCACCCATGCATGCATGTGTACACACACACACGGAAATTTTTCTATTCCAACATTGGGATAAAGTAAGATATCAGCCTTAACAAATTTTTACTTTGGATTAGTAAAATTTCAGCCCAAACTGTCATTCAAAGGGCCACAAGCACCTGAATGATGGAGGTGGGGGGAAGAATTGTTGAATGGACATTATCTCAAATATAAGCACTAAAACTGCAGCACAGTAATACATGAACAAGCCTGTAAAGACCAGAAGTTTAAAAATTGCTGCTACTATTGGGAATTTGTGAGAACAGTTAGACAGCAAAACCTAAACACAAAAGATAGGGTCTCCATCTAGGGACTTTATTTACAGTAAAGTCACTTTACATACTTAGGTAGCATAAAAGGGGCCTTAAAGTTATAACTATGTATTTATTCTTCGTATGGTTTCAAACGTGGAAACATTTCTATTACTGTGAATAGATGGAACTGCTTTTAGTTAGGCGTTATTCCATTTTAGTAGCTTCTGAGAATAAAGACCCTTATCCTAGCTAATCTCATTCAAGTCAAGCACATAGGTAAGTGTTTTTAGGATCTGGACGTAGCAATACAAATGAATTTATATTTCAGAGGAAACACTACCTGCTTACCACTAACCTGAAAGAAAGCCCGAGCTTCTCTGTACCTACATTCAAGAAATCTAGCATGTGACATCTCCTCTAGAAACTGGGACGGATTTTTAGGAATCTGAACTTTCAATTCATCAATGGAAACAGGGAGAAGTACTAGCCTGTAGTGAAAGAAAGACAGACATCATTCTCCTGTCCAAGAATACATCAGCCATGATAAAACAAGAGCCACTTCTACGGATCAGTTTGTGAAGCTACTCAAATACATTAACTCATATAGTAGATCCTATATCTAAATACACAACTCAGGACAAAAAATAGTGTGACAACTACTTTAAATATTCCCCATGAGTTAAGATATAAAAAGACAGGGTTTTAAAAAGTTAGACTCATAAACCCCTATTTAGGCACCTTATCAGTGACCTTATTTTCAAACATGCTGAGGACCAACAGCTCCATTTACTTTTTTGGGAGCTGCTAACTACTCAACACATTTGAAAATTCAGATCATTTATTCAGCTTCCTAAATATGTATGGACTCAGGAGTCTATTTTAGCTTTAAAAAAATCTTGGCCCTTGAATTTAAAGGCTTCCTTACTTTCATAACAATGACAATTTGAGTGGTATTTAACAGTTAATACACTGGACATTAGATCAAGACAAGTAACAAGTTTGAGATTCCAAGATTTAAGGTAGGTCTCATGACAACTACTTAATAAAAATGAATCAGTTTATTTTAACCTGCAAGTATTTCTGTTCTGATTTATTGTGACATTCACACAGTCTATGGGAATATCACTCTCAAAGCCTCACAGTATATATCTGGCTTCGTACATACTGTAATTAGCCTATGGATTTACCACTCTCCTATGCAAAAATACTATGACTGTAAACACTGAACAGATGAAGGCAACTTGGAAAGCTAGAACGCCAATACAGAATAAAGATTGCTCACAAGAAGCAAACATAGAAAAAGAAACAGACAGAATCAAATCACATGAGTTTCAGTCAGCCATTACTGAGCTCTTTCATTTTTTCCAGGCGTTGAGCAATCACTTTTCCCAGAGGTGTAACTTTCTTCAGGTTCTTACACTATTATACGAAAAACTCTATTGCTATTATTCCTGGCACCACCATTTTACTATGCATATTGTACCTGATCCAAAACTCATTGGAAGGAAAAGAAAAGACTCCGAATCAGGGCTTGAAGGAAAAGATGTAGTAAACTCTTAATCTAATCAAGCCGAAATCCTGAGCAATACTGGCGACAATCTGTAGAGAAGGCACTTTCTTCCAACACACCTATTTCAGTCTCTTACCATGACTATAAAAAATGGGAGAAGGGGGATAGCTTATAAAGGGGTACAGCCTTATAAAGCACATAATTTACCCAATCCAACAGGGTATTTCTATACTGCAGTCAAGAATGCATCCGCAGCTTGGGCACACATATACAGGCTGATTTAAAACTAGCTTCCATGCCTCTGTACAAGCTGCAGTCACACCCTTGACTGCAGTGTGAACCTAGTCAGACTCAGTACATCTCAGCCAGTCAAGTTACTTAACCTGCCTCCTTTATGATCCATATTTTAGAGGAAAGTAGTACTGTATTTTGTAAAATCAATAAGGGTGTTTTGAGGGTCAATGCTCTGAATATGAAAGGCATTTTAGGTGACCCACTGGCAACTGATTTCATGATGCCCAATCAGATTCTGTTACTGCTGCTATTGTGACTGAAATTAATTATACCCATTCCAGATTTTCTGCAACATTTAAGCAAAAATTCTAGCTGGTCATTTTTACATTAGTCAGGTGTGAAGAAAGTGGGTTTTTGCTACTTAAGTCATTTATTAGATGCGTCTGCATGCTGAGATAGCCAAAAAATCACTTATTTTTCCAAATACGTTATGGAGTTCTGAAGTGAACCTAAATCTGATGACTAGCAAAACTTCATACCTGTGCATAAATATGGGTTTCCTTTCCAGCATGCATAAATATGGGTGAGGGTTGGATAAAATGGGTGCACATGCATTTGAGGCTCCGGGTAATGACAGAAAAGAGAGCCCCCTAATCAGCATGCTCCAATATTTGTCACTAGATACTATTAACCAGGCTTTTATTGCAAAGATAGGCCCTGTTTTTTCCAAGCTGAGGATTTCAGCTCTTTATCTAAACACAAAACTTCTGGAAAGAGATTATTTCCTTAATATCAAATACCGCTAATATGATGATCCCTATTTTGTCCGTCATATTGACTCCAAGACAGACAAGGTTCTTTGGGTAAATGTGACAAAGTATTTCAGATATCAGATGACAACCAGAGCTTTTCAATTAACTTTGCTCCTGGCAAGATGGACCATGGATACTTGTTCAAAAGAATGCTATCCTTCCACTAACAAGTTCTGCATTAGCCCCTTACAGGATCTCATTTCCAAGTTAAGACACTTCACCCCCATCTCGATTCTTCTACCTATAAATTAGAGAAAATCCCTGCTTTGGATTTATTTTCATAAATGTTTAATTTACCTACATTTTAAATGAACATGTCAATTGAGTTTCATAACCCACCTTTGAAAATATGAATGATTGACTACTAATATAAGTAATGAACCTGAAAGTAGGATCAGAGGTTTTACATCCTTCTCTTTATTCCTATATTTTAACTTACTTTTCATAAGCTCCAGGGTAGCGACCAAAGTGCAGCTTCCGGAAAAGCACAAATTTTCTGTCCATGTGTTGTTTTAGCCGCAACTGGCCATGCCAGAGGTAGTTGCCACTCCTCTCATAAAAGACTACCACGTGGATGGCATGAGATGCCAATCTGAAGATATAGTGCAGTGGAATTTCAATCCCAGAGAGGTCATCCATCCCTTCCAAGCGGGGGTCTTTGTTTTGAATCTTTAGCCATTGGAACCCCATTTTCTCAGCAGATCTAAATAAGCCTGTCTAAGAGTCAGAGAAAGAACCTGAGTTGCAAAGTGAGCAAAAACAAGGCATAAGTACCATAAGTGCCAATTCTTCATACACTTACGCTGCTCCTCATTTCCAGCTGTACAATGTAGATCAGAAATCAAGCCCTAACTATTCCAGAAATTTTCCTAAATCCTTAAAAGGGGGTAACTTTATTTTCCCTAAAAACTTCTGCACACCTGAGCCAAGACAATTGCCAAAAATAAACATTTTAATGTTTTCTAAAAGATTTTCTTAGTTTTGTAGTGCAGAATAAACCCATACTATGAATTCCCCTTTTGTGGAAAACCAGAGAGCTCTTCCATTACTGTGCTAAGCCTAAAATTGCACTGAGCTGCTGCAGTAATCTTGGCCTCCTGGCTTTTCTTCTTACCATAAAATAAAATAGGACCTAGATTTTATACCATCACAAAGAGTTTAAAAATCTTATACTACTGAAACAAAAAGCACAGACTCTAACAGTTAACTGGCAAGCAAAAATGTTTCAGTATCCAGTAGCTGTCTCTAATGAAACAGTCCCTTTCAGGTAGGTCTCTCCTTTTTGAAAGATATCCACCTCTTAAACATCTTTCAAAGGACTTGCACGTTTTGTGAATCGCTGCCTCAGGGGTATCTAACTGATTCTTCATTTTTCAACCTTTCAAACATTACATATGACTTCCCTCATTGCTGATAGCAGTTATTCTCTTCTAGGGACCCACAGGTCTTATATCTCAAGTGGGCTATTACATGAAAAGCTTTCAGCACAAGAAGTTTCTGAAAAAGCCTATATGCACTACTAATACCATGACATCAGTTCCAGACCATGAATCTTCCCTCTGTTAGCATTTAAATAAGAGAATGTTCTGTTAAACAACTATCAACCCTATAATGGAAGGGTACATCATAATGCACAAAAAAAGAACTAAGAAAAACAACCTACTTCATGTTTCCATGTTTTGTCCAGTAGTGCAAATGTGGTAAAGTCCCTTGGAGCACAGAAATACTTGCATTCTGGGCTACTTCCATCAGAAGAACTTCTGAGTTGCTTGACGTCTTTATTTATTAGTCCCAGAACCAAAGGATCAATAAGATACACTGGTACGTTGTGACTGGACACTAAACTTAAGAATTTCTTAACCACATGCTGTTTGGAAGAGTAGAAAAAAAGAAGTTAAAATCCTTTTATTTAAGCATGTAAAATAAATATTTTAAAATAAACAATCCACTGGTATTCGGAACCAGCATCTCCAATGGTCTTCTGTAATGAGAAGTCTGTCAGGTCCAAAGCTACATGCAAAAGTGAAGTGCATGTACAGAAAAGTGGTGCGGCCCTGAGACATACATGAGAGTAAAATCCTTCACATAGGCAGACTGACTGACTCTATGTGCCAAAGCCCTTCCACAGACAGACAGGAGTATTCCCATCCAGGTTCCACACATTTTAAATTTATCATGCCAGTGTTTCTGCTCATAGCACTTATACTGTACAACAGAGCCCTCTGCAGGAGAGAGGGGGGATAAGACTAGTTTTAAGATATTGTCTGATAATCTATAAGCACGACAAAGAGTACTCTAAGGGTTGTGAGACATTTAAAACCTTTTCTGCTTTTAGAGTTAACAAACAATATAAGAAAATATTTCTGAAACTACAAATTGTTTCGTCCCTATAAATCAGAAGGCTGTTAACCTCTTTACAAGTCTACATTTAAAAATTCTGTTCAACAGTTTTTATATAGTCATTTGAATGAGTCAACCCTTCAAACATGGGAGGAAGAGAAGTTTATAATTATAACTGACAAACACTATATCTCACTATAATTAGCATTTAGGTCTTCAAATCATTACTCAGATTATCTAATTAAATTTTATCACCTCACCAGAAACATAGATAAGCATTAACTTTATTTACCAATGAAGAAACTAAAAAAGAAAGCAAAGGAGATATATATTTCATAACAGCTTTTGCCACAGGACAGACTAACACTATCAAGAGTCTGTGTTATCAGACAAACACAGATAGACACTACCTGGGTTGTTTATATGACCAGGCTGTTTGGTTGTTCCAGTAAACAGAAGCTGAGAAATCATACTAGCTACTTTCTATCAACTTTCTCCTGTCATTTTATAGCTTCTAGCATAAATACAATATGCACTGTTAGGAAAGCATATGTACAGTGTGGTCTCTGGACTTCAATATACTAAGAGTGTTCTGACAGTCATCATTATAAAGTATGACAAAGATGTAAGAGACTTATATATTAACAAGAAGATGCATGTTACAGTGATTTGTTAGTTTGACTCATACACTGGTAACTTTCAATACGGCATGTTCACTTCTCCGCAGAACATGAAAAAACAGTATTTACAGCAATATAATCACAGCATGGCAGCAATTAGAAATTAATTTCATTCAGTGTTGAAGGATGAAGTCAGTCAATTAAAAGTAAAGGCCTCACTGTAAAGTTTTACTCTGAAAAGCATGACTGAACATGGCCTTGTGGAGTTTAGATTCACTGCATCTCAAGGTAAAACAGGGCCATATAAAGAGACTGCCCCCTCCCTTCACTAACAGCTCTGTAGACTGAACCTGGCATTGCGGGATGGTACAGGGGTATGCACGCACGCACGCACGCATGTGCATGCATGTGTGTGCACACACACATGCAGGGGTGGGTTGAGTTCCACATTCTATATAAATCCATCCAATTTAAGCAGATTAAATTCCAATACCTTTACAATGCCACTGGCTTCAGCAGAGGGGTAAAGATAACACAAGTAATCAGGATATAGCGCAAAAAATGAAATTTAGGAAACTGTTCTCTGGATCTTGTTCAGGGAAAAACAGAAAGGATTCTTGCTCTCTTAACACCAAAGAGCCAGCCCGACTAACAAGAGAGTAAAGTGCTAAAATTTTTATTATTGCCATTAAAGCAAGCAGATTTGACTCGGTTCTATGCAGAAAAAGGTACCATCCTTGCTGTCACCTTTCAGAGAAGAAAGGCTCTTCAAGTTTACACTAAAACAAGCAGGAAAAAGGAGTTCTGCTGTCAAGAATCCATGAAGGATTCAGCCAAGTAGAATAATGTAATACTTGATCCCTCAGGGATTAGCTGAAAGTTGGGAAGACACCTGCAGTGAGCCACAGGCAAATGTCTGGAGCATTCTGCTTTGTTAATAACACTCCAATAGGGTAAAGTAAGAGCTAAAGGGAAGCACTCTGCCTGCAGGCAGTTGGACCAGAAAGAACATTACGTCCCATATATGTCACACGGCACCATGTTGCTGATTATGAGGACTGTCACTTCTTGGAATCTTCAGGCATTTCTGTGTCAGCGAACAGTCCTCATGTCTGCTTCTGCTTTGACTTTCTCCAAGTGTGTTGGGGACAGAAGAGACAAAGCCCCCAAAGCTAAAAACCCAGCTTGATGTCCTTTTAAGAACTGGGAATTTCAAAAAAATAGTCTCACTGCTTTTAACTTTGCTTACCTGAAGCGGGGTATCTTTTAGTTGTCAGCATCATTACACTGCATATCAGGCCAGTAAGAGACATCCTCTACCTCACCCAAATTTCTGAGAGGTTAAAATGGCTACAAGCATTTCTGGTATAGAGTTCAACAGCCAGAATCTGGCCATAATGCATACTGGATGACCTCATTCTCTGACCCTAGTGATATATGTTGAGCTTGTTTAAAGAATAATGTAAATATGGTTACAATTAAAATTTGTTTTCCTAGACTATGAAAGCTGTTTATTTTTTGGAGGAAAAAAGAAGCTTGCATTGCACTAGTAAACCTATTGTAAGAATAAACAGAACCTGTTAGAAGTCTGGTCAAGATGTAGAAAACACATTCTGTAAGAGGTTAGGACCTGCAACTCCCAGGAACTTACCTGGTCATATTCAAACCTCTAAGGTCAAGCCTGATGCTGTTTAAATTGGAACAAGTTTCCCACTGAATTAACTGGAAGCAGACCTGCACCCACACTTTGCATTTTTACTAGAGTTCTTGGAGACTTGCAAGATGCTGTAATCAACACACTACATACCCATCTTGTGTTATCCTGCCCTGACTGGCTTCCTTTGACTCTTGAAAAAGCTGGTCCATTCTAGCAAGAAAAAAAAGAAAAAAGAGGAAAATATCTTGACAGCTACAAAGTGCTAAATGTTGGCTGCTTAGTCTTTTTTTTTTTCTTTTAAATCTGGTATGTTTTTTCATTTAACATTTTAGACTGCAGTTTTTCATCATTTAAGCACAACATGGAGTACAAAGCCAGGGCCAGTAGATTTGTTTAAATATAGTTGGATGGACAATGCAAACCAAAGGGAGTTTTGGACAAGCAGCTTCCCACGTGAGGAGCCAATTAATAAAAGTAAAAATAAAAGGGACATGACAAATGCAAGTAGCTCAGAAAAACACTATAGGTGCATCCAAATGAGCATGGGAGTGCAGTATGCGGCACCAGATGGGTTGGCGGCACCACATGCTGCACATGCAGGTGTTTCCCACACTGCTACTTTGCAGTGTGTGGGGGGTGGGAGGGGTTGACCTCAGGAGATCCCAGGGTCAAAAAACCCCATGTCTAAAAACAGTGGGGCAGTGCACATGGCAGCAGTGCATGCTGCCCAAAACTAGAGCCTGGCTGGCCAGAGCCATGCTCCAGCTACTAGCCAGGTTCCCTACTGCAGGAGAGCTGTGGCTGCAGCTCCTGGAGGTCCCCAGGTAAGACTGCTGGGGCCAGCACAGTTGATGGCCCCAGCCTCCCCTACCCCACCAAGGACAATATGCAGCATGCCAGAGCATGCATGACGTGGACGTTCCCCAGGGACAAGCAGCGGCAGCACAAGTTGTGCCACTACTACTTGTCCCTGGGGAAATGCACATTCCTGCTCATGGGGACATGCCCTATGAGGATGAGTGTTACATCTTATCAAGGAAATGGTTTGAAATACTTAAGTTGGGGAGAGAAAATGTTAATGTTACAGACTCAATGCAGATGAGGGTAATACAGCTCACACTGCAGACTTCTGGATAATTAATGGACAATGATTCCTAACGTACAGCTTTGTATAGAACAAACAAACATAGCGTAGGAGGAAGCCACACAGTCGTACCATAAAGTGTTAAGAATGCGTTGAATAATCCAATTATTTGAGTTGGTCTAATAAAAGATATCTGATTTACCCAAAGAACCTCGTCTCTCAGAATAAAACTGTTCCCGTGTGGGAAAAAGAAAAAGAAAATCAAAGGTAGGAAGTCAAATGAAAGCAGGAACTCTTATACTATACTTTTAGATTCTTATGAATGGCAATATCTCACTTCTATTTACATTAAGACTGCCTTCGTGGTCTCATATGCTGTTTGGCTCACAGTAAGAACACAGAAAGCAGACATTTACTTTTAATCTCTCAAAAATTTCATAACTGAACATTAGGTAATAAGGACAACTGCTTCTGCAAAAACAGAACAGGCTACAAACATAGTGGTTACTTTATTGTTTCCCTGAACAGTCTCATAAAAATCTCTGTGGGCACATCTACAGAAGATGCTTAATGCCCATTGAACTAATTCTACTGCGCATTAGCACAGCCGGCAAAAACTGTACTAATGCGCATGTTAGTCCAATGGGCATTAACCACCACTTTAAAAGTGTTCATCTGAACTAATGCACAGTAGTGCTTTTAGTACCTGTTATTACAGGTACTAAACTTAATGCTCTGTAACTACGGCCCGTTAAGGAAGTGTAGATGCGCCCAGTCTGACCCTAGTTTCCATACTAAGTCACTCAGAACTACCTCGTGGGCATGCATGTGGAGCCTGAAAAGCTTTGAGGTAGCAGACTGAGCTTAAATATGTGGAAAAAAAGCCTGGATTCCAGCCAACTCAACATAATACCCAATTGCTCCTCCTCTGGTGGGCAGAACCGTCTGAACAGAGGGCCACAACAGTCCTGGTGTCCTCTAGGACAAGTTATTCAGCCTCTGCACGTCTCAGGTTTATGGTAACAATTATTCATTTCAAGGGACTATTTGTCAGGGGCTAACTGCAAAAGTAGACAGCACTGAAGGACCAAGTACTATTTTTTCCAATGCTTTTTTGCTGAACTGAGCGCTGCAGGCTGAGGTTTTGTTTTACCTTTGGAGACAAGTAGTACTTATAGTAATACAGCTGGAACAGAAGAAACACCGAGCTGGTCAAAGTGAGAAGCGCCAAAACCACGTTCTTGTTGATTCTCTGCATTAGTCTTCGGGGCTCACACAGTGACAGCTGGAGAGCTGCTCAGGAGCTCTCATCTTCTCCGACGCCCTCAGCAGGCTCTGCCTTTCTGCCAAGAAAGGGAGGGAAGGAAGCACTTGCGCTGCAGCAAACATACGCACAACTGTCAAGCTTTAACACCTAGGTGCCCCCAAGACAAGCACGCAGACTGGAGCGCAACGCGAGTGCCAACGGCTTCTGGAGAACTGGAGCACGGTGCAATCCTGTGGGAAGCAGGTGCCAGCACAACAGGTTGCAGGGAGCCGCCACTGCCCTACTGAGGCCCTTGAGCTTCAGGCTAGGCAGCCGGGCACTGGGGCCCGGATGGCGGGACGGGGTGGTTCGGTCTGGAGCAGCCTGAGGAGGAGCAGAGGCAACACCAGGCTGCCATGGGCAGGCTGCTCTCCAAACCTGCTTTAAATATTTTGTTTATAATAAAAATTGTGCGCTTAACACACACACACACACACACAATTATTGAGGTTTACCCTAATTAAAGGCTTTAATTCCCTAAAGCAAATGACCGCCCCCCCCCCCCCCC